AACACACCCCCCCCCCCCCCCCGCTTTAAAAAACAACTCCTATATTATACTTTTATGATCTTGGGAAATTTCATGACCAAATCTTGGGAGATTTTAAAAAAGTGAGTGGCAGCCCTGCCGCAGGGGGAATTTCGGATACAGTGAATGGCTGTCGTATGCCGGCCTCACTTTCTGCTAATCCAAATTAAATCTGTTTTCCTTTGGGAAGTTATGTGATAATGCAGTTACTTTACGTTATATTCATTTTGATAATTTGTTCCTGTAAGTGAAAATTACATTTTAAAAATGTTAAATTTCTACATAATTAATGATTCATTATCAGAAATTATCGTAATTCAATTAGTAATTGCACACATTTTGATACTTGTATTGCACCACTAAGGACCACTTGGATTTTGCTTGGGGACACTAGGCACTGGTCATTTCATTTTCAGTCGAATTGCTATGTATATTACTATTAACTACAATTACAGTTTATATCAATAATCATTAAGATTAATATTGATTTTATATCTCAATGTTTTATATTATTTTCACCTATTTTTTGTGGGCTGTGGCTATTCGGACTCAGGTATCAGAATTGAGAGTTTGGGTTTATTTTTATTAGAAAATATTTAAAATATTATTGTAGTGTTTGCAATACAAAATTAGATATTAAATAAAATATAATTGAATGCACTATATTTTTGTAAACTTACTTCTTCAGTTTAACTAAAATAAACTACCACAAATGACATCTGAATCTGAATAGTATTCAGTCTAATTTATAATAATAATAAAGCTTTTGTTACATTATTATTACTAAGTCAAATATCATATTCACACTCAAACATTAAAATTAAATTTAAATTATTTTAATTAATTTATCAAATAAATATACAATTTTTTTTTATTACATATATATATTATTAATATGATATTATGGTGCCACAATTCTGTATTAAAGATAAATGTAGAACATGGTTAAATTGGAATAATATTAAATAATAGTAATATTATTGTTATTAGTAATAAAGTAAAGCAATGCTCATTATTATTGTATTATTATATTAACTGTAGTTTATATCAAATTGATAACAGCCATTTCCATCAACCCATTTTTTTTTAAAGTGGGGTTACCACTGATATATTTAATTTTCTTACCCATTAAAAAAAAATTTTTTTTTTTTTTTTTTTAAATTCATAACTTTTTTTTGAAATAACCTATCATTACAAATTAGGGTTATTTTTTTGTGGGAATGATCACAACATTAGAACGGGTAAACAACTTTGTAATACAAATTTACACAAAAAAAAAATAATATTGATAACAGCCATTTCCATCAACCCATTTTTTTTTAAAGTGGGGTTACCACTGATATATTTAATTTTCTTACCCATTAAAAAAAAATTTTTTTTTTTTTTTTTTTAAATTCATAACTTTTTGTTGAAATAACCTATCATTACAAATTAGGGTTATTCTTTTGTGGGAATGATCACAGCATTAGAACGGGTAAACAACTTTGTAATACGAATTTACACAAAAAAGTAATAAGCTATTAAGTACATACTTCTGTATGAAATTAAATGCGTTGCCGATCACAATGTTCACCATGCAGTAAAAATGGTACCAGCTTGCTCAGAAAAATATGCGCCCCACGTCACTGATGACAAAATAATTTATTATTAGAAAACTGACATGAAACGCAAAAAATCGAAAGCCTCAGCAAGCCGTCTGTTATATTGCCACAAGAGTTTTCATCAGTTTTCGGTTATGCGCAAACGGTATGCCCGAGAGGCTGTCGATATACCTATAAGGAACTTGGTCACGCATAGCCGCTATTTGGACCAGGGTCCCTACTTTAGACTAAATACTAAACTAAATTCTATTCGGATGTCATTTGTGGTAGTTTATTCTAGTTAAACTGAAAAAGTAAGTTTACAAACATATAGTCCATTCAATTATCTTTCATTCGATTACCATATTTCGTCTTACAACCCAACAATAATATTTTTGTAATCCCAACCTCTCACTTCTGGGACCCAGGTCCCTATAGCCACTTTGTTTTTTGTGAACAGTTTATAAATTATGAATGTTGTTTTAATTTAGTCTACTAGTGCATTTTTACATGATAAATGAAATTTAATGATACTGATACTACAATATTGGATAATAATATAATATATTATAAAATATTTTAAAATAATTGAAATGGTTTTTTTTTTCTTCAATATTTCAAAAGATTCAGGGTATTGTATGTCAATAGAATTGTTAGGGCATATTCAAAACACCAGCATCACAAATTGTGAAAAGGGTCTTATTAACACAGATGTTGTAGTGTCCAAATTCGATGTCAATTACTCCCAGGAGGATCCAAGCCCCAAGTTTGCACAATTTTACATAAGAACCTTAAAAGATGATGGTCCAAATCTGGTAAGTTTATATCAGAACATCGATTTTAAATTGTAAATTAAAAACTTTATTGTAAATAAATATTATATGCATCAGCCTTTATTCCAATGTGTGTATGAGTATGGGAGTGCTCAGTTTTGACTCATTATTTAATTAGGCTACACTTATTAGACTTATTATTTTGTTTACATTTTATTGAGGTATAATTTTTTTCTTTTATAAATGACCAACTGAAAGAATCCCATATTTTAAATCAACATTATTAAGTAGGCTATTAAATTGGCTAAATATATTTACTTTAAGAAAAAAAATATTTTCTTCAGATACATCTTACTTAGATTTAATTATTTTTCATAATATAGATAAATTTTTGGAGAATATCTTAAATTTTATGCAAAAATGTGAAATATTATTATTACTGTATATGTATCCCATTTAATGTGTAATTTAATTTTGTTCATTGGGTTTTTAAAAGCTTATTATTTCTGAAAAAATATCATTAAATTCTCTTGCAAGTAAACATTGCTCAAAATTTATACTATTTTTTAAATTCATCTAAAAATGTGTTTTAATGCATAACATAGCCATAGCATTAAAATGATCCCTTATCACTAAAATAAGTTAAATTGCTTGTATGTATATATGTATGGCATCTTTCCGTCTGCGGGAGACGATAGATTATCTTTATTGCTTGCAGCTCTTGGTGTGGCTGGTTAGACCAATACTCAAATGGCAGTCTCTGTTACATTTCCCACACACGAATGCGGTGGAGCAGTATTTACAGGCCTTCCTCCTCGATCTTTTTGCAGCTGTTTCCGCCCTGTTTTGATCCTCGGCATGTAGTGATCCTGCCTTCGCGATGTCCCGCCATGAGGATCAATCCTCTGCCAGCTCCTCCCAGTTTGAGATGTCGATGTTGGCCGACTTCATGTCTCTTTTGCATATGTCTAAGTATCTCAGACGAGGCCGTCCAACTGACCTTTTGCCTGTGCCAGCTCGCTGTATAGCACGTCCTTTGATATGCGACCAGGTTGCATTCGCTTGACATGTCCAAGCCAGTGGAGGCGTCTTTGGATTGACATGGCTGGGATGCTACACGTTTGTTTGGGACAGGACATCCGTGTTGGGGACTTTGTCTTGCCATTTAATGTCAAGGATGTGACGCAGGCATCTGAGGTGGAAGCCATTCGTGTTTAGAGTATGTGGTCCACGACTCTCATCCATACAGGAGTGTGCTCAGTACGCAGGCCTGGTACACCTGCAGCTTAGTTCTTGTTGTGAGTTTGGCGTTTGACCAGACTCTTTTCTTCCGTCTGGCCATGACAGTTGCGGCCTTCCCTATCCTTCCACTTATCTCATCCTTCATTGAGAGGGTGCTCGATATGTTGAATCCCAGATATGTGAAACTGTTGGCATTCGTTGGCAGGACAGGGTGCCTAACGTGGAGGTTTTGGAACGTGCACACATGTTTAGCATATTCTCCTTTCTTATCAAGAGACGCCTTTGCTGGTTAGGTCATGTACGGAGAATGGAGGAAGGACGTATCCCAAAGATTCTGCTGTATGGAGAGTTGGCAGAGGGGACAAGACATATTGGACGACCGCGCCTGAGATTTATTGACGTTTGCAAACGAAGCATGAGGGAAGCCGATATTGAAACAAACGAATGGTAGTTCATTGCCAAACATCGCTCCAACTGGCGTACAGCAGTGTTTGAAGGAGTGAAAAAGGCAGAAGTTACTCGAAACGAGGCCCTCGAATCAAAAAGAACAATTCGAAAATCAAGAATTTACCGGGATTCAACATTCTCCTGCGAGAGATGCAGCCGTGATTGCCATTCTAGGATTGACCTAGTGAGCCACTCATCAAAGTGTAGAACTATATAGCTACTCCATCGTCTTACGAAGACGTAAGGGTGCCATATTATTATTATAACAGAAATAGTTAAATGTGGTAAAGCATCACAAGTTATTAGATAGGTGCAGAAATTCCCAAAGGATATTTAAGCGCAACATTTTTTAAATTTATATTGCTATGTTCCATTAGGCTTTTGAATTTGTCCAGTCAATATTAAACTGTATATCTGATTAATCACTAGTTTAATGGGATTATATACTCCCTTTTTTCAAAGCTGTTTTAATTGAAATTTTATTTGACAAATTTCTAGTCTCATTATTTGCTATATTAGAAAGCATGAAATCGCTTAAATTTCAGTTGGAAGATGATGTTATCGATCTAGAGCAACACTGTACCAGTGATCAAGACTCAAAATGTTTTAGAACAGGACCAGACAGAGTAATTATCACCATTAAGCTAAAAGGGTCAACAAATTACAGTGGGGCAAGCATTCATGCTAAAATAGTTACTTCATCAAATGAAGAGGACATAAAGAGTCCTCCATATAAATTTCCAGACATACATGGTAAGGCATAAATGTATTTATTTTGCTGAATTATCTAGACTTTCGATTATCATGATAAATTTTCCCTTAAAGCTGCGCAGCCACCCAGCTATGTCATAGCCGCCGTGCAGCAGTTTTGAGTATCAGCGCAGCACATTTTTATAAAAATAAATGCGAAAAGATATGCTGTACTCTGCAGCTGGAATTATACAGTTTTCATAGCATATACATCCATCTTTTTAATTTGATTCAGATCTATATTTTTGTCTTCTGTTTTTTTTTACATAGAACTATTGATTTACATACTCACTGATACACACCGGATCAAGCTAGCCTTGTTCTGAACCACCGCTGCCATTCATGTAAATTTCGTGGCGCATACTGTGCATTGATTATATATAAAGTAAATAAATCGCATATCTCCAGTTTATTATAAATATAGTAGCTAATTATTTTTAATAATGTATTAACCATTATGTCTAAACATTAGTTAAGCCAACTGTCAGTGTCATCCCTTGCTAAGAAAAAGTGTAGATAAAATTTTTAAACGGAATGGCTCCATGAATTTGTGCATGCAGCACTACCATATTCGTCATCAGAGCAAAGTGTCAAAATGGGGGATATTTTTAAATATTGTGAAATTGGTGATGATTTTGTCTGTGAAATGTGCTTCAAATGGGCTTCAAAGCTAATGCAGCTGGATTATCTTTAACGACATATCAAGTAAAAAATACACACACATGCTGTACAGAGACTTCGTTCTATACAGTCAGAAGGTGTACTGCGAATGCTTACAGAAAGTATCGCTGACTGAGGCATGAGATAAAAAGCAGTGCAATGTAAAAGTGCTAAAGAAGACCAGGTTAAAATTTTGATTGACTACGTCCTCTTGGCTATCAACATGAACACATGTATGAATGGGGTTCAATACATACACAACCATATGGCTAAGTATATCCCAGTAGCTGATAGCTGGCGCAGTAAGAATTACACTTTTTAGTTTGTTGATTCTATCGATTCTGTAGTGAAGGATGCTATAATTAGTGAACTTCGCAATGCAAAATTCCACACATTAACAGTAGATGAGAGCACTGATATATCGCTGAAAAAATGTTGATCTTATGCGCAAAGTTTCTGCCATATTTCGGTAATGTTTACACGATAGTGTTGGTTGGGATTTAGTCTCTGTCAGCATGTGACAGTAAATCTGTGTTTCCGGCAATAACAGAGTTTTATCAAGAGAATTCATTGGACATGCAGAAAATGGTCATGTTCACCTCTGCATCGGTTATGCTAAGCAAGAACAATGGAGTTGCAGCACTTCTTTGCTGAATGTATTGCTCATCAACTGGAACAAAATTGCATTGCTCATCATGAAGATTAAAGCATTGAAGATGCTTGCAAACATATAAGTTTAATGGCAGACATTGAAACATTCCTTGGGACAACGGACACATTGTTCAGTAGGCTATAGGTCGACATTACGGAAAGCCCAGTTTACTGAACTAGCTACGACTTTGGAATGCGATTCTGTAGCCTTTAGACCATTGAACGAAATCGTGTGGTCCCTGAGATGGCTTTCGCTGCACTTTTCTTTAAGAGCTTTGCCGAGAACTATACAAGTGTTGACTGAATACTGTGAGGAGCAGGTGGGCCTGTATAATGATCCAGTTCATAATCGCTGTTTGAAGAAACTAAGGCATCAGCAGTTTGGAACTTCACTGATTGTCTTTGATGATAAGTTGTTGGTGAAAAAATCTTACGACCATCGAGGCATACCAGTTTGTAAAAGCAAGGATCGCTAAGTTCTGTGCCCAGTACCTTGGTGAAAATGTGCCCTGGTAAGAAGAGTTTGCTGAATTGGGTGCTAATGAAGAGGATATAAGCATGAGTTCCATCCTAAAATTCATTGAATGTTTATGTTTGCACCTGGACTCTCGTTTCCTTGAAAGTGAGTTGATGAAATGGCGAATATTTAAGATATCAGGGTTAATCGACACTTCATATTTTAATTTTTGACAAGAAGAACTTGCAGCACTGGTTTCTAGATATGCAGCATTCCTGGAAAACTATGATGACATTCTCTTGATTTAAAAGTCAGGGGACTATATTACCAGCACATTCCAAAATTAATATTATAATAGTGAATCACAAGTTGGACACTTATTAGAGGGGAATAACTCAACAAAGTTTTACTTCTCCCAGAAATGAATTGAACAAATAAAGGGATATTTTGTGTTTGCAAAGATGTTAGTCCCAGGCAGTAATAGCCCTATCTACTTTACTGCTCAATAGTAAAATTAGTGAGAAATACCGTGCCATCGTAAGGCATGGGGACACTGCGCACCTTCCCAGGGTCTTGCACTTTAATATGGCCTCATGCTCGATGGACCTCTTGCCTCTTGGGGAACCTCACACCTCTAGGGTGCCTCACACTTGAAATATTTTTGGAAATTTATTTTGCTTTTATAATGAAAGCAACAATGCCATTTCTCAAGTTTATTTTAAAAAGTTTTTCAATTCTCACATCATTTCAATTTCTTGGTACAAGTTTTTGAAAAAGTTTTTTTTTATTAATTATCAATTTCCAAAAAAATCCATTACTTTTCTTCTTGGTGGGGGTTTTGGGAAGGAGTAAATCAAAGAGTCTTACAAAAAGGCACCAAACGTTCATTATTTAGTAATTTAAAAATTAAAAAATGTTATAGTTTTGTAGTTTTAAATTCCATATAAACTTTATCAATTACTGCATTTATTTTGAAAATTATGTTTTCTCTTTTTCTTTCAAATAAATTCACATAATAAATATTTGACGTCTGTCGTGAATATTTTCTTTCTTCTTTTTTTTTTACACCATTTAAATACAATTTATTTTAAAAAATGACCTGTTTTAAATAGTAATGCATAATCTATTGTCCTTCTCTACAAAACAGTATTTTTTTCTCATTTTTATGTAAATTTAGGGAAATCCTACTTAAGTTTTAAATTAAATCCAAAATGATAATGTGATAGTTATATACTAGCAGCAATAGTTCCGTTTGTGTGTGATATAATTAAGTTGGTTTCTGAATTTGTACGATCATTTTGCAATATTTAGTTTTGGACCCAGTATCCTAAATTATTTTTTCACTGATATGAGCTATTTAAGTATAATTTCCTTGCGCGTTCCCATACCATTCATCTGATTGTGATAAAACTTTGGTTAGTTGTGAGCATGCCCGCAAAAGGTTTCTAAATAAGTACAACCATTTTCATTATTAGGGGGCCATAAATTCTTTTTTTTCTTCTTATATTAGCTATGTAAATATAATGTCAAACAGAGCTATTGCATGGGTAGATGGCATTGAATCAAATACATATGTTTCTGAATTAGTACATCCATTTAACAATATTCCGTTTGGGGCCAGGGGCCCTAAATATTTTTAACATGTACTAAATGAGCTAGACCCTATATAAATATAATTTCGAACAAAGCTATTGCATGGGTGGATCAATGGCTACTACTGTGTGGACTACATTTCAAAATCCATGTTTCTCGCATGGATAACTGTTTGTGGCCTGCTCATGTTTCCAAAAATCTTCTAATTTTTTAGAATACGCACCAGACGGTAAAAACAAAAAAGTGTGTATATAAAAAGTATTTCAAAAAACATAATTAAAACACAAACATTTATTTATTTGGCTACAACTGTGTAAACTAAATTTTTTAAGTATGCCCCAGATGGTAAAAACAAAATATTATGCATATAAAAAGAACTTCAAAAAACATAATTAAAACAGAAACACTATTTCTTTGAGTGGCATGCCGGGTTCTTGCTAATGTATATATATATATATATATATATATATATATATATATATGTAATAAATAAAGCCCTCTGTGATTAATTAATATAATGCTTTATTTAAAATTTCACAGATTCCTCAGAAGTTGATTTTAAAAACAAAATATAATATATATAAAAAGAACTACAAAAAACATAATTAAAACAGAAACACTCTTTCTTTGAGTGGCATGCCGGGTTCTTGCTAATATATATATATATATATATATATATATATATATATATATATATATGTAATAAATAAAGCCCTCTGTGATTAATTAATATAATGCTTTATTTAAAATTTCACAGATTCCTCAGAAGTTGATTTGTCAATTGATGGTAAAAGAACTTCTGAGATTAAAATATTTAGGAACCTCACATCGCCTGAAACAACTGTTGCTTTTGTATGTGAAAGCAAAGTTAAGCCATGTTGGATACAGATCTCAGAAGACAATAAAGTTCTAAGTGAAAACAAAGATTTGATTAACTTTGTCGTAGTTAGCATAGCTCAAGGGAACAGGCTACTTACAATAACTTATGGATGTTGCAGTTTAAAGGGCTATGTTAAAACAATCTTGTATTACGCTCATGGAGGTAAGCCAAAGAAAGCCACAACCTAAAGCCTTGTCATTTTCTTTTAATTGGCTATGTCAAAATTTAGCTATATTTTAATGTAATACTAATAGCAATATTTCTTGTTATTATGTATTTTAAACTCATATATATACATATTGTCATTTGTTTAGTAATGGAATTTTCTTCAATGATTTCAAGACATAAAGTCCCAGTAATTGCTATGCTGTTTGAATATCATTAAATATATACAGTATAGTGTTGATTATCTTAAACGCCATTTTAGTGACCTGACACTGTATTTTTATCTCCTTCTCTTCTTCTATATTTTGAGGACCCATGATCAATGAATTGATCATTCTGGCTTCTATGTATCAGAGTGGTTCACAATGTAATTGTGCATGGTTTTGAAAGGGATACTTCACTGGTTGCAAGGTTTACTCAGTAAATAAAAGATAATAATTGATGACCTGCATTCAAGTTGTGTAAATGAAATATAAGGACAAGGTATACTAAACTTGAATTAATAGACTTGTTTGCTGATGAAGGCTCTAAGCCGAAACGTCCAAATCTTTTGTCCTGTCTATTAATTCAAGTTTAGCATAACTTGTTTTCACATTTGATTTACTCAGTAATGGTATTATTAACTGGGGATTGGATGACAGGAGGCAATAGATGCAAATGTGTCAAGTGTAGTCGACCCTTCTGTTGCTTTTGGAAGCTTGTTCCAGTCCCTTAAAGTTATTGTCTTTGGCAGGAACGAGGAGCTCCTGTACTGAGTTCTTGTTTTTATGAGCCAGAAATGCCTGTTGTAGCCTCGTCGCCGTCTAGGGGGAGAAAGGGACAAGTTTCTGTTTAATGCTGGAGAAGTAGACCAGCCCATTTTTTATCTCGTACATTATGGAGAGCCTGGATAGTCGTCGTTCCTCCAATGGTGACCAGCCCAGTGTTTCTAGCATGCTGCCAACACTTGAGGTGTTTCTGCTATATGAAATGAGTGAATCAAAGTAAAGTTAAACCTGAAAAAGGAACGCAACAAACAAACGAACATGTGCTGTTCTCCAGTCGGTTGGAACATTGCCTTGGCATAGTGACGATTGGAAGAGGATTGTCAGCGAGGGGGCGATTTTATTTGCCAATTCTTTGAGCCACCATGGTTTGATGTTGTCAGGACCACATGTCTTGTTGCGGTTAATGGTTTTAAGGAGTGCCAGCACACCCTGCTCTGAAATCTTGTTATCTTCCATGACGGGGTTAGCTCTGCTCATCATGTTGGTCTTCAGAAGGAACTTAGCCTCTCTACCACCACCGTCTGGAACTGTTGATTTAGTATGTCTGCCTGTGCTTTTGGTTCAGATGTCAAATGGCCGTCCCATCTCGGGGGGGGGGGGGGGGGAACGCCTGTATTTGATGACTTTTTGTGCTTGACATAGCTCCAGAAGCTCTTGTTCTTGAAACCCTTGGCTGGAGTATCTTCCTCTGAGAAGATGCCGTGCAGGTAGCTCTAGTAAGATCTGCGCAGTAAGCATTGGATGGTTTGGGGGAGCCTCAATACCTCGGCTTTCAGTTTGTTTATATTATTATTATCTTAAGCAATGACGAGGAGCATTGGCACACAAACAACAGGAAAGAAGTATGACTCTAGAAACCTTTTGTACATTGTCTGACCAGACTGAGAAAATCCGACCTAAAGACTTGTTAACTAATATATATTGCATAAGACAATTAAAATAAGTTTTAAATTACTTAATATCAAATTTAATGTTTATTAACCTGAACAAATTTGTACACTTGCATATCCCTTCATTAATTGGGACATTAAAATTAATATTCTGTTTTGTCTTTGTTTTTTTTTCAGACTTCTCTGAGTCTAAGGTTTCAAATTATTATCTTCTTTTTATCCTTGTTTTTCCAGTGGTTGCTATAATCATAATCATAATTATAGTAAAGTGGTAAGTTCATTCCTAAGTCCTGCTGTCATTAAATTAAAAACTGAAGCATGTTTTAATCATCCTCATAACAATAATTAAGTTGTTAATTGTAAATGTTGTTAGGATAATTATTTCATTACCAAAAGTTAGAATAGCTTTTGAAAGAGTTATTTATTTTTTTAAAAAGAAGATACGCCTTTACTTTAAGTATAAATTTATAATTGATTTTTACAAATGAAAAATTTTTTTAACTCATACTGATATTGTACAAATTATGTATTCCTTGGCAACAAATTTTTCTTTAGCTGCATGCCTTAAAAAATTGAACTAGGTGACTAATATGTATTTCAAGCAATCAGTTTTAGTTAACAATCTCATAAATCCACTAGATAATCATCACTTCCAAAAAATAGGATTTGACTTTATCACAGAATTTATTGGTATGATAAGGTTTGCGGGCCTTGTTCATAATTATATACTGAGTAATATTACTACCAAAGAGATGTATATAGGTTGGCTCCTATATGTCTAGCTTTATTAATCCAGCTGTTAAGACAAACCAAAAAATCTAACAATGCTAAATATAGGTAAAACAACTCCTCAGTACCATTTGCTACATAATAATTTACTGTTCTAAATCAGACTTCAAAAAAAAAAATCAGTTCAGGAGAAGAAGGGGTTAGTCTGCTTATGAGTGGGTCATAGGTGATATTTATACTTTTCTATAAGTACTTCAATTCAATTATAGAAAACAATGATGAAGAATGTAACTAACACAAATCACAATTAAGCTGTGTGCAAAAATGGGTAACACCTTTTTTCTTCATTTTGTGACTACCTTCATGAGCTGTGCAAACAGAGAGTATCAAAGTAGATTCTGTACATTGAATAATGCAATGTCAAGTTGTCATTTTTTAAATTAGAATATAGCAGCAGTTGCAATCTATTTTTAGAACAGTAAGCAAATCATTTTTATACGGTGTGGTATCAGCACCTGAACTATATTTAAAACCAGTAACCACACTGGGATAATGCAATCTGCACTTATTACTTATGCAAACTTGCTCATAGATATTTGTAGCATGTCACTTCAGATCGACTGTCCTCGAATCTCTACCTGAACTGTCTGTGGCCCAAAAACTTCTCCCTTATGCCTTGTGTTAACCCTTTGCATCACTATAAAATCTACCAGATTTGAATTGAAAATTCTCCAAACAAGATTGTTTTTACCCCAGGATGCCTATTCCTTGTCTGTGTCCATTATCAACTATCAAGTTTGGGTTTTCTATCCCTTTTAATCAGTCTAGCACTATCCAGGAATCTGCATGGTTGCTGCACATTTTCTAACAAACTACAAACTGCATTACTTAAATTTTTTCATGACACCTTAGACCAAAGTCTCTTAGTTTCCACCTGATGTATCCTTGGTTACCAGAATAACATATCTTCTTTGTATTACCATAAATTCCACCGATGTCAGTGTCAATTACTCTCTCACCTTTTATCTTGTATTTATGGGGTACCCTCTTGTTGTTCTATCATTTGTCCTTCCAGCCCTGGTCATTGTCATTTATGACTTAACCAGCATTAAGGTTTTAAACAATTCAAGAATATCTCTAAAATTAAAAAAAACACCTCTAAGAAACTCAACACAGTGCACTGTGAGTGAGCTTAGAATGATCCTGATCAGTATATGGTTTTCGGCAGTAAAACTTTTCCTTCTATTAATTCAAGTCTGACCAAGAATTCCCTAAAATTATCGGGCAAATTGGTTTAAGACATCCCAGTAATTAACTTAAAAATGTATAAACTAAATTGTTAAGGACTAACAAACAAAGTTGGAGCAAGACAAACGTTTAATATGTACCAAACAACTTATCTCAAGATTTAAAAAAAAAGACATTTCCACTATTCCACTAACATATTTTTAAAAAAATGAAAATATTTTGTTTATGGCATAGCAGGCAAATCACTGAAAATATTGTATTACCATAATTTAACTATATCAAGAAATATAGACCAAAATGATTTAAGAGGTGTCCAATAAATTATTTGAAAACATACCAACAGAATTAGTTTAAAATTAACCCGCTACGTTATTACAAAATGTAGCAATAAATTAAGCTAGAAGGGACTCTTTGTGGAGATCATCAACTATAGAAGTCATTGCATTTTTAAAAATTAGATGACCAACAGTGATTTTTTTATTTTAAAAAAATATGTTAGATTTTCTTTGAAAACGTGAAACATTATTTACAAATTTATATTGTCACTTTTTATTATAACTTCCTTGCACTTTTATCCCTTGAATTGAACTTTAACTACAAAATCAACTTTCTTAAACCTTTAAAGATTTAAATCATTTGCATTTTTATAATGCTTATAATCAGCATTTTGAATTATCACATCTTAATTTAAGTTGGGATTATAGGAAAGCACACCCACATTTTAGAACTGCTTGATTGATGCATGTTTGTATATCCATATTTAATGTTCTAATGGTAATTTGTAAGATCCATAACACACTAGTCATAATGTAAAAAATTAGGGGAAAATAAAAAACTGACATTCCTCTTTTTCACTTAAAATGCATGGGTGCCCATGAACTCTTCAAATCGCAAAGACATGCACACAGCAGTTTTACTATTTTCATTCCACTTACTTGCGGCAATATACATCATTGTATTTCATGCCCCATTGTTTTTTTTTAGTCCTATGAATGTAACAACTCTTTTTGGGGGGGAAATTTATTTTATACTATTTAGTACATTTTTTTATAACTGTAAATTTTTTTAAAAAGTATTTTTTAATATTATTTTATTTGCTCTAAGCTTGACTTTATGGAATCTATCCTAGAATATTCATAAGGTTATTCATATATTAATGTCTAACAAAGTGTTATTTACAGCGCAACTTGTTTGAATTGTACTGAAAATCATTTTAATTAGAATATGGCCTCCTACACTGCCAATTATGAACTAAGCAATATTTTATATACATTCAATATGAATAAAGGTATAGAGTAACAGTTCAATCACTGAGTTTCAGCTTCTGATTTGTATGGTCATTTTTTTTTAAACCTGCATTTATATTTCTTTAACAGGGACAAAATTAAAACTTGTTACAAGAAATTGATTAAAAAGAACCAAGATTGGTCAGAAAGGCACAAAGTATCAAAAAAGAACTCTTCATGAAGGTTAGTGAATTCATGAAATGTGCTCTAGTGTTAGTTTTTTTCCATAAGGGCAGTTCGAGCATATCTTTCCATGTGAAATTAATTTTTAACAGTAATTTTATTTTGTTAAAAGCATGTCTCCTCAATTTTGAGAATGTTGAAAGTTGTGCTTCCATGGCAAGTTAATGATTTTTTAATGGATTTATTTATCTAAAACATTATTTATATTGCATGAAGGTATAAATTATTTATCCCAGGACAAAATAAAAATTAGATCATCAACAAAAAAATTATCCAAATACATTACATATTAGTATTAGGCTTACATGCAACAAAACTAGGGAACAAAAGGACTCTAAATTTAATAAGTAGTCTAATATGTCTTAGTAGGCCTTCCAGTGAGTTTCAATTGATATTTTGTGTCCCCCTAGAGTAGCAAAACTATCCTATTACTATTAAGAGTCTGTGATAAACATTCATAAATATGAACTAAAGCAACGTTTTTCCAAATGCCAGGCCATAACCTGACACTGGGCCACAAAAGTCTTTTGACCTGTGTGAAGCAGGATTTACAACACAGGATTTCATAACTAAAAGAAAAATATGTAATCGATTGGAAGTAGTCCAGGATCTAAGAATAAGCTTATCATCTTTTTTCTCATTATATAAACTTTTTAGTTAACAAAAAAAAAACACATCACACTTTTCCGTTAAATATTATTTATTTATCTGTTCAAATTTAATTTATCAAAATGTTTTCTTAGAGTAAATGATTCTTTATAATGCTAGCTGAAAACTACAAGAATCAGTTTGGTGTTACCTCTAAGCATAGGAAAGTATAAATGATGAACAAATTTTAGTGGGTCATGAAGCAGAAGTAAAAAAAAAATAACCAGGCCACAAAATAAAAATAAAACGGTTTTGGAAATTTTATAGTGGGGATCTTCTAATTTCCTCCAAGGGCTATATAAAAAGTTTGTTTAGTTTAATATGTAAATTTTAAAAAAGCGATTATTTGTTACGCAATTTTAGTAATCAAAATAATCAATTTTAGTAATCAAAATAATCCATGCTTAAGAAAACCTGTATGTATTTGTATTCAATGGCTTGCAACAGGAATATGTTTGAACCAAGATATATATATTTAAATGCAATGTAATTTACTTTAAAAGTAATGCTATTTTTAAAAAATCGCATTGACTTTACTTTAATACAGTATACAGAACTGGTAAAACAAACATTTATTTCAATTTTTTGTATCAAACCAGATCTAATGATGAGGAAGAGGAAGATTTGTAAAAAAGGTAACATGTTTTATTGAAGTTATTTCTAAAATCATCTTTTTTTTTTCTTGCTTTGGCCATTGTCAAGAGTGCTAAATGTTGATGGAAAATGCTAAACTATAAGCATCATAACTTGTTATGCAATACATTTAGAATATATAATGGTAGTTATAAGCACTTAATTTAGTTTTATTCATTATATGGCATATAATATAGTTAGTATTTTTTTTTTTAAATTTGGTAAGTACATATACATAGACGTATATGAGGATGGTCCACATTTTTGAAGTTTGAACATAGTCTGACCCTCTTAGTTTGTTCCACTACGCAAGAAAATAACTCCTGAAAATTTTCAGTGAAATTGAATCATATTTAAGGGTAGCTCGAGTAGATTAAATTTTGGTCATTGTCTTCTTTATGAATACCTTAATTGGAAAAAAAGTGATGCATTGGTCACAAATGCAAAAATAGTACACTTTATTGGCACTACATGTATTTTATGCAAAAGGGTCATTGAAGTGGAGCCTGCATTCTTTTAGAACAAATATTGGGAAAGGACTTTCTCTGCCACCACCATGTCATAGATGGAGGTTTTTTCTGGCTGTTGTCTTAGTTGAGGGTTTGGGGCTGCAACTTCTTGTCATGGTTTAAGTGTAAGAAACTCTTCAAGCAACCTTGGAGCAAAATTGATCCACATTGTTACGAATGAAGTGCTAATAATGAAATAGTTATTGGAAGTTTATAAGATGACAAGGGCAGTTTCATGGAATTTCTGATAGGGCAACCTCAACCTTTGCAACCCAGAGATGGTTACAAGGAATTTTTCAAGTTAGCTATTATATTTGTAGGAGAAACACCATGACGCAGAGTTTGATGTTTGATCCCTTAAGCTCTTCATCCTGCAAGGTGCATGGCAAAAGCATTATACTTCTACCCTTAAAAAAAAAGGAATTTGCTCAGGCTATTCAAACTCAATGCAGTAGGGGAAAGAGGATTTGGTGAAATATACATCTTCCTAATAAGGGTCTACAGCGAGGCATGGCTTACCGCCCCTCAATGTATTTCTTCTCCTAATAATGACCTAAAGGTCCTTTGAAAACTTAGTGACTATGAAAAGGTAAATGCTTCTCCCTACAAAGTTTCTATCAAGAAATTAGAAGGTCAGCTTGTGTATCTCAGTGAACAGCTTGTTGGATGACATTTTCTCATGAAACTCTGTCTTGAAGGTCAATGTTGAAGTCTAATTATGAAAATTAAGGAATGAATGAACCTCCCAAAGAGCATTCAGCTTAATTCCAAGACAATTGCTGGAGATAATTTTATGAAAATAAAACAATTTTTTATTTTTAAAAAATGAATTCCTTCATGCATTTGAGCATCCCAATGGGCTATCTAGAATGAGTCTGGGACATACAATTCTCAGATTGCAAACAAGGTAGTGAGATTGTTACAACGTTGAAGGTGTTTAATGACAAAGTAGAGAGATGTGTGGCGCTCGTACCGGAGTTTAACAGCATTATAACAAGGGAGGTGGTAACAGAAACAATATTTGATGCCAGCTGTTCAGGAGTCGTCGTCGTGTTTGCCTGACTGCAAGAAGACAACATTGGCCACAGATGTCACTTTGGACATGTGAAGTTAGCAGCTGAAAGCTAGCAGCTGAAAGCTGCATTACGCATGAATTTTTATTCTTAGAGTGTGTGTTGAGTCTTAAGTTGTTAATATGTAATTCTATGTAACAGAAATAGTTTGAAGTAAGTTTAAATGGTAAACACTATCAAATACTATAATGTTAATGTCTTCGTATATTAGCGTAAAATAAAGAACCGCCAAGGCTATTGAGCTACCTGTAAATGACACTTTACATACATTGTTTTCTTAGTATAGTAGAACATAAAAGGGGGTCTGATCATTGAAAAGTTTTTTTTTTCTCTTATTTTGTGGACCACCCAAATATAAAGATATATAATATTTCTGATTATCACATGTTTACAGAATAAGGAATCATCACAATGTAAAGTTAACTGGTGCTGAAGTTATCATACAGTGTTCAAGTTGTACAAGCATGTCTTATCAATCGTTGCATGCAGCTGTGGTTACCGCCTTAGTGTTTTGATTGTATAGTTGAGACTCTCCCTGCATGTTTAATGAAAACTTGGAGATGAGAAATAATTGTTTGAGATTTTTACAAAATATTTACACTATATGTTGTTGACAGATAAAAAAAAAATTGATGAAGTTAATTATTTATTTAGATAGAATTATATAAAAGTGGGGGGGGGGGGGGGGTGGTTGTAAGTGTGGTTCATTGGAATATGGACAACTGTGGACAATCTTAAATTTTACATCAAAAATACAAAATTTCTTTGGTAGCACACACCACGGAATTAAAGTCTGGTGCCCATGTATTTGGTATTGGACAACTTAACTTCCATCTGTAAAGTAGAGCACGTCCATTTCCAACATAGAGTGCTTCTTTTTCCAACATAAAGAGCTGCAGACACTCACTTTGCGAATACATTTCTATATCCTGTTGTTTTTTGTTTTTTAAAGTCTGCTTAAGCAGGCATCTAACCGAAATGTTTTGTTTTGATTGTCTTTTCTTTTCAAGCCACATGAACAAGTTGCGGAGGGGATCGGAAAAGATTAATATTTTTACTGACATTTTTATGAACAACCTCTTACATAACTGACTTTTTCAGTTCTCATTGTTGAAGAAATAGAAAACTTTTTTTATAGCAGATAACTTTGATCATAAGTTTTATACTTCATTTATGTTTTTAAAATGAGACATAGTCTCATTCAGTAACATATTTTCTAGCATGCACCTGGGACTAGAATATTTTTCTTCCTCCCCACCAAAACATTGACTTGTTAGTATTTAAGAAAAACATTCCACCAACACCATTATGCCTCTCCAACAAATGTATCCATACTGTTTCATACGATAATGATTATATCTTTTGGGTTCAAAAAGGCGCTGAAGAAAAACAGTTTACATGTGAAAACAAGAACAGTGTCCTTAGTTTAGTGGGCATAGTTTAACTGTTGTCCGAACTCTCATCAAATTAGACCTAGGAAGATGACATGAAATACTTAGTAAAAGCAGCTTTTTAGATACTATACACCCTTATTCTCAAGTTTCCTTGATCTCCTCTTGACAAAATTATCCTTCAACTTCAAAGTATTATACACAGTTTCTGGTTACGGTAGTAGTTTATGGCAGTGGTTGATACTTTGTCAGAATTTTTGGTTTATGTCAAAAACAAATATATCCTAGGAAAAATAGATAAATCCTCATGTAATACTGCCTCTGCTTCTAAAAGCAACCAGAGCCAATGTTCATAGAATTATGATCATTACTATACTCATCCGGTTCTCCGATCATGTACTCTTTTAGAGAACTTAGTGTACTGGTACATACAATATGGTGCACATGAAAGCAAGGCTTTTGCATCTGGCTTAAAGTGTTTGCCCCACCACATTTGAATGTTTAAACATTATGTGATATTTTGTATGGTTCTTTTTGTGTGTGATTTGGGGGGAGGGGGGGTTATATTAGTGTTTGAGATAAAGATGATTTTATGTCCAAAAAATTTTGAGCTTGGCTAACACCTCTGTATCCCCACTGTTCTTATAACTTTCTACTTTTTTTATATATAATTTTTTTCAAGGAATGGAGGCACAAAAATTGCACTTCAATTATTAAACAATGACAGTGACTAAAACAAGTAACATTTTTATTATACTCAAAAAAAGAGATTTGTCATCAATATAATTTGAGAATGCCAGTAACTTTTGAATGTATGCTTTTTTTTTTTTTTTAATATATTTTTATTTCCAAAATTTTTCTCTATTATTTTCTATTTCTTTTACATTAAATTTTTAGCATGTGCTATCTCAAATGCCAAAATGAGTAAAACTGTCATAAAATTTTTATAATTTCATTTTCTTTTGAATGTATGCATTTTTTTTTTTTAATATATTTTTATTTCCAAAATTTTTCTCTATTATTGTCTATTTCTTTTACATTAAATTTTTAGCATGTGCTATCTCAAATGCCAAAATGAGTAAAACTGTCATAAAAATCACTTGTAAAAGTAAAATATCAATAACTAACTCAGCTTCTATATCAGTCTTAACCACCACTACTTAAATTTAAAAGCACACATTTTAATTTAATATATGTGGTTGTTTTTTTGTTTTGTTTTTCCAAAGAGTAATTTACTTGCATGCATGTTTAAAGCATGGCAGGGAAATTATTTTAAATGAATCTAAATCTAAAACTCCAAACATTTTCTTCCTTCCAGAACTTCATGATTTGGGGCCTTATACTTCTTTATGTCAAGCACCAGCTAAATTAGCTAGCTTCCAATTTGTTATTTATAATATGAGTGATATTTTCATTTCCATCCAGCACTTAGATCTTAAATGTTTAGCCACCACCTTTCTTCATGTCCAGTTTATAAATCTATATATATCTATCTATGTATATATATATATATATATATATATATATATATACACTTTTAAAATATTTTTTTTAAATTTGACAATTGTCTTTTTAATGCTACCCTGTCATTTCAAAAATATTGATTATGTCTCNATCTTAAATGTTTAGCCCCCACCTTTTTTTATGTCCAGTTTATAAATCTATATATATCTATCTATGTATATATATATATATATATATATATATATATATATACACTTTTAAAATATTTTTTTTAAATTTGACAATTGTCTTTTTAATGCTACCCTGTCATTTCAAAAATATTGATTATGTCTCTAAAGAAAATTTTATTTTTTAAAAATTTAATCTTAATTTTTATTATGGTAGTAACAGCGGTATTGATAATCCAGAAAAGTCAGAAATAATGCCACTACTGGCACTGCTCAGAAATTTTGTAGCCTACACATAGCAAATTTTAGCTTGTACCATACTTGGTATGAAGAAAAAAGGGTATGTCTATTGCCCCACATTTTATTTTCGGAAATTTTCACTCGTCAAACTTAAAGATCATCATTCTCTAAACAAAGAAAGTTTTACTTGTTGCACAAAGATAATTAGCGAATTTTATTTATTTGACTTTTTAAAAAAATGTTACTTGACTCATTCCACTCTCAACTAGATGGGTGTGTGGATGGATGGATAAATAAACGGATGGCTGGAATGAGAGAGAGATTGATAAAGAATTGTGTGAATTAAAATAAATTTATACTTTGCTACCGGTACCAGTTTCTTCTTATGTTAGTTTGCCTATTTTTGTATGTTCAGATATTGTAATCAAAGGGTTGACCCATTGTAACCTAAGTGATTTTCTTGAATTTTTTCCCACACATAGTAGAAGGGATGGATGGATTAATAAAATGATGGATGAGTTGTAATTAAAATTAAAAGGAATGTATACTGGTATACTTTTGATACAGGTACCGATTTCTTTTATGTCTGCTGGCCTATTTGGTTATATTATTCAGATATTATAATCAAAGGGTTGACCCAATGTAACCTAAGGACCATACATAAATTACGTCACACGTCTAAAAAAAAAAAGAAGTGGGGGAGGGGGGGGGCGCAATGTTCCCTTTAAGCTGCGCTATCTTACAGACGCCGCGCAGCAAATTTTTATAAAAATAAATTCCATAGGATACGCTGCACTGTGCAGCCGGAATTATACAGTTTTTATAACAAATACATCCATGGTTTTAATTTGATTCAGATCCATACTTTGGTCTTCACTTTTTACATAGTTACCAATACACACCCGGTCAAGCTAGCATCGTTCTGAGCCTCTGCCGTCATTCATGTCAATTTCGTGGCGCATATACGGCGCAGTGAATGTGTATGAAGTAAATAAATCGCATATCTTTAGTTTATTATAAATGTAGTGGCTAATTATTTTTTAATAATATTGTAACCGTTATGTCTAAACGTCAATTAAGCGAACTGTCAGCGTCATCGCTTGCTAAGAAAAAAAGTGTACATCAAATTTTAAAACGGAATGGCTCAATAAATGTGTGCATGAAGCACTACCAGTTAGTACCAGATCGTCTTCAGAGCGGGCTTTCAAGATGGGTGATATTTTTTAAATATCGTGAAATTAATGATGATGATGTCTGTAATATCCGCTTCACAGCTAATGCAGGTGGTGATTTCTTCTCCACAGGGAAAAGGTGGGGGATTTGAAAGCTGGATTACCTTGAATGACGAATCGAGCAAACAATAACAATACACACAGATGCTGTACAGAGTTTTCACTCTATACAGCCAGGTTAACTGGTTAACATTTTGATTGACAACGTCCTCTTGGACATACATCAACATGAATTCAATACATACACAACCATATGGCTAAGCATGCCCCGGTTTCTGATAGCTGGTGCAGTAAGAATTACGCTTTTCTGTGTGATGACTCTGTAGTGAAGGATGCTATAATTAGCGAACTTCGCATGGCAAAGTTCTACACATTAACAGTAGATGAGAGCTCTGATATATCACTGACAAAAATGTTGATCTTATATGCAAAGTTTCGGCCAAAACCCGTTAATATTTACGAGATAGTATTTGTTGGAATTTTGTCTCTGTCGGCATGTTACAGTAAATCTGTGGAATCAGCAGTAACATAGTTTTATCAAGTAAATTCTTTGGACTTGCAGAAAATTGTTTTGTTTACCTCTGATGGTGCATCGGTTATGCTAGGCAAGAACAATGGAGTTGCAACAATTCTTCGCCGACGTATTCCAAATCTACTGAAACAAAATTGCGTTGCTCATCGTGAAGATTAAGGCACCGATGATGCTTGTAAACATACGGTATGTTTAATGGCAGACATTGAAACATTCCTTTGGACAGCTTACATATTGGTCAGTATACTGAACTATAGGTCGACATTATGGAAAGCCCATTTTGCCGAACTTGCTAAGGCGTTGTAATGTGATTCCGTAGCCTTTAGACCATTGAATGGCTTTCATGGCAATTTGTTTTATGAGCATTGCTGAGAAACATGCACGTGTTGACTGAATACTGTGAGGAGCAGGTGGACCTATGTAATGATCCAATTCATAAGTACATAAGAAGAAACTAAGGAATCCGCTGTTTCGAATTTCACTGATTGTCTTTGATGAAGAAGTTGTTTGTGAACTTGCTGAATTATGCCAGCTGCTACATATACAAAATTCGTACTACCGTACCATCGATGCATATCAGTTTGAAAAAGC